TTTTTTTTTCCAAATAAAATTTTCCCCCCCCCCCCCCCCTTCCAACACACCCTTTTGCGTCTGATTGCAGCATTGCGTCCTATGTCATTCTTGTGAGCTCGACATAAGTAATGTACTTTGTCTAATTGTTAGGTGAAAAACCTTTCCATTATCAATTCCTAGAGTGAATTTTAGTTGAATATTATTCATCTTTGTAGAATGGACTCTTCAACTGGGGTAGAGTGTCCTGTGTCCGTATCAAAGACGTGTTGAATACGACACTCTTCGGACACTCTGTCATGGTCATTTTTCCTTTTTATCAAAAATAATATATTTTTTTAACTCAAAATTATTATTAAATCACAAATAGGCATTTCTATTTAAAAGATTTCAATAAGAAAAATTAATAACAAGTATAAAACTAAATTTATACTATATAAATGAAGAATTTTAGAGAATTTAATCAATGTTTTGAATCAGAATTTTTTTGAAAAATCGCATTTATGCGTGTCCGACACGTGTCTGTGTCAATGCTTCATAGTTAATCGTTCTATCGGGTTATGTTTGTATAAAAGATATGAAAAATTGATCTATCTTTTTCGAAAAATTCTATGTTATTGCTCGCAAGAACTCAGATTTTCCAAAATCTGTTTCCATTAGTCTATATTTCTGTGTCAATAGCTGTGCATAATGATAGTCCACCGTAGTTATTGATTTCATGGGAATGCATTATCTTTATTATTGGTCTCACGACACCTGAAAGTTAACTCTAAGTCTGTGGTGATAATGAACAAGTCTAACAGCTTATAGAAACTAATTATTTGTGGAACACTGGATTGCAAAGAATATTAGCTTGAATTTGACCGTCCATATTTCAATTATTAATATCAATATGAAATTACATACTAAAATTAGAGTCAGCATAATGCAACGTGCATTTGAATATAAAACTCTCAATATTCACTGATGTATGTAGTGATAAATCCCTAGTCAAGTACATCAAAGGCTCTCGTACCTTTTCCATTTTAGGTACTTGACTTATAATTATAGAATTTGCTTGCTTATAATCAAGTATTTTTCAGAAACTCTAGTGTGAAACTTACCAATGGTTCTGACAAAGAGATAAATTTAAATTTGAGATTTTATTTAGAATATCTGGGTCCTTACAAATCAGAGTGCGGTTAATTAGTAAATTGAAAAGGAGTAAGGTATTTCCAAGTCCCATGCCATTGTAATAATTAATAACACATGTTTTTCTTCTTAAGCAGTTTCTTCTTGATTCCTGTGTAATTCCTGGAGCTGTAAAGTTTGATTTTGTCTTTTGGGATTGTCATGCTAACACATTTCTCAATTACTAGTTTTTGGGTTTGTTTAAGTTTATGGTTTACACATTCTGTATATCTTTTATATGCGTTATGTTGCAGAAATGCTTTCCAGCATGAGTTGACTTTGTTAGAAAAGGTCCGACATCCTAATGTGGTTCAGTTTATTGGTGCTGTCACCCAGAAAATGCCTATGATGATTGTTTTGGAGTATCATTCAAAGGTAATCATCTCTCTCTACATGTGTATATATACACCCCACGGCCACAGGCATGCTCTTATTCTTCTTATTTGGCAAAGCGTGGATATGCATGTGTTTGTGCAAGTCATAATTGGTTTATGTGGCTAAATTTGTTAAATTTATGGCAAATGCTGACAATCAATCAATTCATGGGAATAAATTTCCAGATTGTCCACTTTTCTTACTTTTCTTTTTGTTTATTCTCTTTTGAAGTTTCTGAGTCGAATATGAAGTGGATTGGTTTCTAGTATCTAATTATTCTTAGCCTGAATTTTTTCTTTGCAATGGTGTTGATTAACCTGAGCATTGAATAGACTATAAATTCCATATTTGTTTGGCTTTGCTTTGCTCATATATGTTATTAATCTTCAGGGTGACCTAGGTAGCTATCTTCAAAAGAAAGGACGGCTATCTCCATCTAAAGCATTAAGATTTGCTCTTGAAATTGCCAGGTAATATGGTTTTGAAAAAATATATGGAAAATATAAGAAGTTGAATTGCTGTTTATTTTTCATTATTTGCATATGATCCTCCTTTTTTCTTCTTCTGCTGCTGCTTCTTTCTTCTGTTTAGTGTTTGTGTGTTGTTGGGTGCGGGCTGATTCTGTCTAGTTTGTATTCTGATGGCTCGGGCAATTTAACCACCTTGACAGGGGCATGAATTATCTTCATGAATGCAAACCAGACCCAGTTATTCATTGTGATTTAAAGCCAAAGTAAGGAAACTAAATGCTTAAGTTGGTTCTTTTATATAGAAAAAAAATATATATATTCTTGAATTCGACTTTATGATTGCTTGCACTTTTTAATATTTGAAGTCTTGGTAAGGTGCCAGAAATATTTTGCTGGATTGTGGAGGACAGTTGAAGGTTGCTGGATTTGGTGTGCTTAGATTATCCAAAGTTTCAGAGGACAAATTTAAACTGGAGCGTCCTGAAGCCATAGATCGTACAAGTAAGACATGTACACAAAATACTTGTGTAGCATCATACATTTCAGGAGTTCCTTTATATAGTTTGAAGATAAGATATGATATAATTATCGGGCATATGCTAGAGGAATCTGGTTGAATTTACATTTTTCCATCCACTGCTGGAAGAGATTTGGTCCCGAACTGCTGTTTGACCCCAAATTTTTTTCCTTGCTAAATGTAGGTTTGTATGTGGCAACTGAGATTTTTAAAGATGAAATATTTGATAGAAGTGTGGATGTGTACTCTTTTGGTCTTTTACTTTATGAGGTAATATTTTTCATCCTTATAATTTTGTTTGACTATGGAGAAAATTATAATGCAAGCAAGTATATTTCCCTGTCCATAACTTCTCCTGCATTATTATTTTATCAAATATTTCTAAATCTTTTTGAGATGATTTTTCTTTTTCAAATGGTTTACTCTCTCATGTTTGCTTTACTATGTAAAAGAAGCATGTTGATTATTCAACTCTCTTTAGTAAGAAACTCTATAATATACTTTAAGAATGTTATGGAGAATCTTTGTATTCCACTGCAAAAGATAACCCATAGGTCTATTTTTCCTCCTCACTTCACTCCTTTAGATCCGTCATGATACCATTGATTTACAATTTCGCAAGATGTATGATCAACTTCCTGTGTTATGCATATGTCTGTATATATTGATTCAGATGGTGGAGGGCGTGCCACCATTTTCAAAGTCTCCTGAAGAAATTGCTAAGTTGATGACCTTAGATGATAAGAGACTGGCCCTAAAGATGAAATCTAAATCTTTCCCTCCTGATTTAAAAAAGTAAGTCATTCTTTTCTTTTCTTTTTCTTCCAAATTTATCTGTATTTGCTTTCCTTTTTCCTTGTTCAGTTTCTCCATTTTAATCACCGTTGAGATGCAGTGATGTAAATCTCGTGGCAAATTTCTGTGCTTGTTTTTACCTTTTGTTTTGTATACTGTAATTCTCTCCTATATAAAATTATGCTTCTATATCAGAAAAGATGTTAAGCGAATCATGCTTTAAGTTTGAAGATTTTTCTCCAGTTACGGTTTCGTGAGATAATTTACTTTTTCAATCTGCATGTGGTCTTTAGGTATATTTCAGTAGAAGTGACTGAATTCTGGATAGTGAACTGTATTTTACTCAAATTGGAATTGTTTATCTCCAGGAGGTTTTCAGTAATAAGATAACTGATATTTTAAATGTTCAATATACTTTGTTACTATAACTACTTTATCTCCCTTCTTCACCTTTCCCAAACAAAGTATTCTTTTTTTTTTTTTGCTCTATGGTTTTGATTGACTTTATAGCTTTAGTAACTTTTTTCCCCCTGATTACTTGTGCTACATACCTAGGTTGATCGAAGAATGTTGCCATCCGGATTGTGTTGGACGTCCAACATTTTCAGAGATCATTGTCCGTTTGGAAAAAGTTGTTGTGAAATGCTCCAAACATGGATGGTGGAAAGATGCTTTCAAGCTCCCTTGGTATGCCTCTGCAAAATTTTTTCTCCTGTTATGTCTTTCTTCAGTGAAGGACAGCATTTGCTGATATAAATCACCTTTTGCCATAATGTTACGTGGGGTGAATCTTGTAAGAATTTTAGTGAATTTTAATGATTCTATAAAAATTGGTACAGAATCTTCAGATTTATGGACCGAAGGTGGAAAATTAAAGTTTTATTCTCATATATAATGCAGTATATAGTCATGTTTCTGTTATTTTCAGCTTTCGGTGCAATTATATGAAATATTGACGTTTGTGCAGGAAATGAAAGATGCAGTCAAGAGAAGACATGCATGTTAACAACTTGTGAGTCAGATCTTAAAGTATACTGTGGTCTACCTGTGAATAGAATGAGATTGGTTCTTATAAGTGTGTACCTGTTGAAAATTCACTTGTATGCCTCAGACTTGTACTTTGGTAATATCATATGATTGTGAAACAAATAAGTGGGAGATTGTAAAAAAGCTCTCTCTCTCTCTCTCTCATTGTTACATTTGTTAATTTTATCGTAGTAATTTTTATCTTTCTTTCTGATTCTAACTGTATATTTACATTTGTATAGACCTAATAGATGTCACCTTCATCAGAAATTGTCTCGATATCGATGAGATTGCTGATGGTTGTGGCTTGCATTTGTAGGGATAACTGGTGGAAAGAGGGGTGATCACTAGTGTCACACCTTCGAATACCTTTGGTGATTAGGCTTTTGCATAATTTTAGCCTTGCAGAGGAAAAGGGGGTGCCAGAATATTGCGAGTTTTGTTTGCCATAATTTTTATTCACATATTTTGTAGAATTCATAACCATCCATAATTATTACCCACTTATTAATTGTACATTCTATAAGACTCGCGAAATCTGCACCACAAGTTTTGCTTAAATTATAACCTCAGCCTTGCCAAACATATGCATTATGTACTCAAAACACATACAATTTTGCATGGTCTTACCAAATACGCCCTTATTTGGTGAATATTAAAATCAGATTTTAATAAATGTTGATGAAACATATAGTTGAAAAGTTGTGTGTCCTATTAAATACATGGTCAAAATTAATTGTTAATTTTGACTCTATTATATATAACATTACTATTGACGAATCACATATGAACCCATGTTACTATTGACGAATCACATATGAACCCATTACATGGATTATGTTAGAAAACCAACGAACTGTACCTATCCATGCCCGACAAGATTGTTGTTATTGTGCGCATCGAATGTGGGCATCATATGCGAGTATTCGAATTGTGTCATACTCAAAAAGTCTCCTGTGTGAGCTTAAATTGAGCTTGCTGATCTTATGGTCGGAAGGCTCGTCTGGAAGTTCTTGCACCATGGGTGTCGCATGGTCCGTCAAACTTCTAAATTTTATCGATAATATGATACTCCTTCCGTCCTATCCATATAAACTAAGTTTCCTTATTTCCTTGTTTCAATTGTATAGTCATGTCTTTTTATTGCGTATGTTTTGTTTCGTTTTGTTCGTTTACTAAATATACCCTTATTTAATTTGTCTAATTATAACCAATTTTTCCCGCTTAATCTTGAAATTGTACAAATATAAATAAGAGAAAATCAAGAAAGTTTTTGGCAAAAATTATTTTTTCAATAACATTGAATAAGAGTTTTTTTAATCCGTGAAAAAAACAAAGTCAGCCCATATAAATAGAACAGATGGAGTAATAAATAATGAATAGATAGATCATTTTATATTTGTGACAAAAATAGTACACTTATACTAAAATAGTGCTTAACAAGTATAGAACAATTAACAGAACGAGGTAAACAAGATGCAAAAAGATACATTGGTGAAGCAAAAAATTGATATAATTTTATGTAATATAAGACATTAATATCGATTCGGTCATATTAAAGTCTTATCTATGTAATCGTTAAAAATATGTGAATAAATCTTCTAAAACAGGGCCCGCGGAAAAATAGGGCTTATGTGGCCCTGTTTATATAGCACTGCTCAAAATATGTCTATATGCCCTTGTTTGAGTTCCATTTTTCAAAAAATGGATTTTTTTTTAAAATTTATTTCAATTGTACATTCTTCTGGAAAATAATGTTACACATAAATCTTAAATTTTTTCTTACTTTTTAACTATACATTCTTCAAAAAAATACTATTTTAAAATACATTTTTCCCAAAATCACATTTTTATAAAAGACCAAACAAGGGCTATATAAACAGAGGAAAAGTTTGGATCAGGAAAAAATTTAAAATAAAATAGTAGTAGGTATTCATTTATAATAAATTTACGCTTTAAATTAATATATGTACAAACAATTTTGAAAATGAAAAATTGATCTTTCCATGACACCATTTACAAATTTTAGGTCATGTTACTTTATGAAATAATTCTATAATAAATTTTATTTAAATTTTTGTAAGAAATAATGACAAATATGGACCCACGAGACGAGTCAACTCGTGTTATGGACCGAGTAAAGCCCGTGGGTTGAGAAGCCGAGTAACAACCCTAGCTGGATGAGTTGAGTCCTGCCCATATCCACATTCAACACCTCCATTTCCTTACCTTCTTTATTCACACACAGTTTTATGTGCATTTGTTGTATGTATCTCATTCTCTCTCTCTCTTCATCCACCAAACCCTTGTAAGATGTGATTTGGCTACTCGACTCTCCCAAAATCTTTTCAATTCTCAAAATTTCAGGTAAAAGGCAGAGACGATGGTGGAAAATAGTGTCCAATGGAAGACCCATACTCAACAGAACAATATTTGGATAATAATCTTTGCAATTCAACAAACTAAACTTCAACAGAATCCACATAGAGCCATGTTAAAGTTTGATGCATGTAAGCATACTAACCAAAAGCACAAAACCCAATCAAAACTACAACCAACAAGATTCTGGACCAACTAATAACCATCCAACAGCCAGCTCATCTACCAGTTCCAGATTCTAATCCTCTGGTGATGTGCCTGAAGTAGCATTGTCTTTTTGAATGGAAGATGGCCCCAAACCTCTTAGATTCAAGTTTCTGGCTTGAGCCTGTGGCTGCATTGAATATTGTTGCTGCCCATTCTGAGAATGTATATGGAGCTGTTGAAATTGTTGAACAGTTAACAATGTAGCCATATCGTCATGGTCGGGATGCTGGCTGGCTCCATAAGATGCAGGAAGATTCATCATAGGTCCACTATTTTGAATTGTTTGACCCATCTGCACTTCCGGATGCTGGACCTCTTCCTTTACTGCTTCATCCAATGGTGTGTTTTTAAGAAGAAAATAAGGGTGGAAAACATCATTTAGCAGTTTTTATGGAGTCTACCAGGGAAAAAAAATAAAAAATAAAACAAAACAAAATCAACGTTCTCGAGAAAGGCTAAGAATTGAATTCCGTTGCATTCAATGCATTGACGAAGTACAAATCGTTCACCTATTGAATGACTTCAATATCACTTCGAAGGATGATGCCCTAGTAAATAATCTAAAACCTACCTTTGAGTAAGTTGGCCAACTATAAAATCATGTCTGCATGTTTGTATTTTAAACACAGGATGTTCGAAATCACATTGTTCTTTACTTGCAGCCCAGTTTCGAAAGCTGCAGTAGGCATCACCAACACTCATTGGATATCTACTTTTAGGAACAATTTAAAAAGTTCAAATGAGAGAGTCGTCAAAAGTGTGAAAGTTGAAACAGCCTAGTTCTACACTCTGAAGTCAGTGTCATCTCAAGTCTGAACCTTTTACTTTCAATTTTTCTTCCATTCCTTTTTTCTTTTTTTAATTTATTTTGGGAGAAGCCAAAGAGTGGTGAAGAAGATGATAAGGAAGAATGGAACCAAAACCATCCTGCAAAGATAGCTAAGGATAGACTGTTACCGTCTATTAAGTGCACTTGTCGTTCCAATGTTTGCAACTCCAATTTCAGTTCACTGTTTTGAGCAGTAAGGTCACCTGTATCTTTCTGTTTGGGAGAAGCAAAGAATAGGTAATTACATAACATCATTCTTGTATTTATATATAGAGTGCATAACAATAGTGAATTGAAAGGGGAGAAATGCAAGTAGTAGAAAAATCAGTTCTTGAGGCCAAGCACTATGACCTATAAACTACATCTTTTCCCTTATTGGTATGCCTTATTATTGTATTTTTTTCCTCCTATAAAACATCAAGTGCTATCTATAACATGGGAGGGAGGGAAAAACAACCGCTCACTACCAGAGTATATGACAACCTCCTGGTAGCAGAGTCCTAGACTCCTGGAGGATAAAAATGCCGTTCTAAATCAGTCAAGGACCAATAGAGGAGGTAGTTTTCGTTTCCTTTTTCTTTCTTTCATGTCCTGTTAGTTTTTTGGTCTGTTTGCATGTGCCTGCATGGGGGGGGGGGGGGGGGGAGGGGGGGGC